GATGCGGAATTCGTATCGACTAGCCATCGCTGGGATTCGAACACGGTTTACCTCATTGAGAAACGAATGCTTTATCCCCAGAGAAATCACGGCTTTGCATTTGTTTAGAAACGTTTAGATAATAGCTCACACTTCCTTTTTTCTATCTAAATTTCTCTCTACATTAAAAAAAAAAAATTTAAATGCTGTCGCATCCACCGTTGTTGGGGGAAGGGTCACCTTAACGTTGCATTTTGTTTTAGTGCGCATAAACTATAATATTATAAGACTTAAATTTGAAATTATTAAGGTGTTTAGAAAACTGTTCAGGGATTAAGATAGAATTAAAAAAACTATTCTATAATTAGTTCGAGAACTACAGATTTGAAATTAAAGGGTCGTATTTGCTTATGAGCTTAACGCAGAGTGTTTTCGAAATAATTTGTTTGAAAGTTAATGCAATTTTAAGTGCTTTTTGCGAATTTTTCCTCAATTGCTTTTGTTTTACGTTACAATTGGCTTTGCTTGTCGAAATAAATAAGTCTTAGGAACTTGAAATTACGACGGTGTGTAGAGAAATGTTCAAGAAGTTTGATGGAATTAAAGAAAAATTACGATTCTATTATTAGTTCAAAAATTATTAATGTTAAACTTGTAATAAAAAAAAAGCCATGTAGTACTATCTATTGACCGCTGAAATACAACTACAAAGTTGAAATTTGTCAGGCTGATAGGACCATTTCGAATTATAATTTAACGAGAGTTTTTTCTTTCTTTTCGAAGTTCTTATTTCCTCAATACTTCTATTACAATTTTTGAGTGCTTTTTTTTTCTTCCTTTTTTTCTTTAAGTTGCATCATTGTTGTATGTTTGTAAAAAGTTATCTTTTTCATTGTTCTGACTAAAAAGTTATCACTTTAAGTAACATTGTAAAAAGTTATCGCAATTTTCATTTTTTAAGCTGGAGCTTGACTTGCAGTCAAAAGTAACAAAACAAAACAAAAAAAATAAATAAATAAATAAATAATCGAATAAAAAATAATAAATAATAGAAATAAAAGAGAGGTTAGATGTTGCTGATATAAATCTGTACATTTATAGCGAAATGTTTAAAAATATTAAAATTGAAGAGAATAAAAAACCGTTTTCAGTACGAACTGTAATTTCATATAAGGTAATCGTTATATAATGTAAACAAATAATACTTCTAATTAATTATTGCTTATTGTGTACAGCGCGCCAAAAAATAAATAAATAACGGACCACCCAGAATAACGTTTGATCTAATGATCGGATTTTCACGTTGGTTAGAAGGGGTGATCTCGGATGCGCTAAATAATTAGTGCAGACGATATATTAAGATGCGAAGTCCGACACAAAAACGTACTTTCTCTGAATAAAGATGCTTTTTTTTCCGACGGATTCGAACTTCTGACCCCAAGAAACTGGGGATAGCCGCAATCTGGGAAATATGGTCTCCATAGTTGATTAGGAGAGCGATGCAAAATCTGGACCCCTTAATGATAATTTCACTTTTTGGACAGTTCGTCATATCTGGAGAACTTTTTAAACGAATTTAAATTTTTTGCTCACAAATATGAAATTCGTCTTTCCAAAAATATTTACATGCAAAAAATAAATTTTAGTAAATATTTATTATTTTTATTTTTTTATTTAATAATAGTCGAAAAATTTCAAATTATAATGAATGCAAATTTTTACGTCATTTTACACTATGTAAATTTACGTAGCAAAATGAAAAATTTGGGCGAACTCGGTTCCTGATAAATCAAATTTAAAGAAATCGAATATTTCAAATTTGATTTCTCAGGAACTATTCAGTTGATTTCGCTCAAATTTTTTATTTTGCCTTTTAAAAATACACGCTTTGAAATGACGCAAAAAATTGTACACCTTATAATTCAAATTTTTTTTTACTACTATTAAATACAATAATAAAAAATGATAAATATTTACTAAATTTTACTTCTTAGATGGAATTATCTTTGGAAAAAACGAATTTTTTAAGTGCGTGATAAATTTTTCAATTCACTGGAAAAAATCTTATGATATGACGAAATACGCTAAAAGGAAAATTAAAATTAAGGGATCCAAACTTTGAACCGCTCTCCTGGTCAAACTATGGGCACCATATCATCCAGATTGTGGCTATTCCCTCTATATTTTGAGGGCCAGAGTTACGAATCCATTGAAAAAATGGTTTGTTTATTCAGAGAAAGTACGTTTATGTTTCTTATTTCGTAGCTGAAACCAGACCAGAGACATTGCGATAAAGAATTATTCTGATATTTTTTATTTTCTTCGACGGCTTACGCGCTTGAAGCAATGCTGTCTAGTTGTTTTTATACACGATGCATGAAAAGAAATTAAGACTTCATTTTGTTGTTTTTTTGTCTTCTTTTTTTTCCTTCTTCGTCTTCTTATTTCGTTATTTATTTATTTGCTTAATTTTAGTAATACAATGCTTCGCAATGATCATATTTGAAGTATTTTCCTTTGCAATTTTGATGAAATCAACGTGTTAAAAATTTTATCAAAACTTTTAGTGCTGCCATCTGTTGAGAATAACTTTATACTCATGCATGACCCACAGAATCTTTAGTATTTGCAAATAGATTTTATGTTTCAAGCCGAATCAAAAAATATTTTTTTAATATTCTCCATGTAAAATAAAATCTTTGTTTCAAATGATAATGTCTTATATTTTACGAAATTTGTTAAACACTCTTCATTTTTTAAGTTCTCAGATCCATGATCAAAAAAGGAAAGCAAAGATTATATTTGTCTGTTTTTAAGTGTAATTTATGACATTTCTAACATCTAAAGACATTTCAAATAAAAATTTTAAGGGCAGAAAGCCGTTGCTGTACTATATTCTTAGCATCATCAATATCAAAGGTATGGACAATGTGTATTTATCACTATCGTAGTAGTAATAGTAAAAGTAGTAGTATTGTCATTATTAATATTGTTATTAATATTGTTATTATTATTTTTATGCTTGTATTTTCATTAGGGGCCTCGGGGCACTGTTAGTTTTGGCTCTGCCACTAACAACAGAAAGGCTCCTGTGTGTTTGCAGACAGTGTGTCCCCTGATGAAGTGCTGCTCTGTAAACACACAACTTTATTTAAATTTTATTTAAATTTTATTTAATTTTATTTAACTATTTTTGAGTAATTTTTATTTAAATTATTTTTGAGTAAATTTATATTATTACTAGTTTATATGATTTGAATTTGGTTTTAGCTGCCTTGAGCGCTATTCCAATTTGAATTAATGTATTTAAGGTTGTTTTCATTTTTACCTTCTGTTTAATTAATTTCACTTAAGAATTTGAATTTACGTTTGGATAATATTGTTATTGTTAATATTAATAATATTGTACAGAAACAGTGATTATTACAATTTGAGCTATAATAATTATTATCATCCTGGTTGCAACAAAATACAGCTGTACTAATCTTGAAATAAGGTCTGTATTTTGTTTCTTTTTTTTATTAGGGTATTTTTACCGGACCTAATGAAATTCTACACTTCTCGTGGTAAAAACTGATTTAGCCATAAAAAAAATTTTTAATTTCAATACAAATTGAAATGTATGCGAATTTTGCATAAAAAATAAGCTACCATTTGTTTTCTTTTTACATAAAATATTTTCTTAGCAATAAAAACAATCTTAAAAAAATCCTAAAATTTTCCTAAAATTTATCGATTTTTTCCAGAACTTTTTGTTGTGCACACGAATATCTAATGTCCGTGTGGGAATTTTCTGAAAATGAAATAGGTTGCTTTCAAAACTAAAAACTCTGGTATAACTTATAATTTTTACCTTTCACCGGAAATAATTTTTTTATTCAAAATATCCCAGGTATCCTCTTTAGATAAACATGGTCTCACAACCACAAGGGACCCTAGTAAACTACACTCAACTCCTTAATTTTTTAGTTTAGTTTTTTTTTTTTTTACTCATTTTTTATTTATTTATTTTATGACATCGTATTTCGTTAATGGCAACACTAGATTTATATTACGTTTTCTGGAGTAATTAATGTCGTCTGCGTTTGGTGCACTCTGATTCTTTTTCCCATAGACTTAACACTCAACTAAACTTATAGGCTCGTTCACTACTCAAATTGTAAAGATTGGTGTAGGTCTCCCTTTTTATTTTGTAGCCTCTTAAAAAACTTGGCTTTATTTTCTTTAAATTCAGTTCACGATTTTGCATTTATACCTTCCATTCATAGAATTTTATGATTTTTTATAATTTCCTCATTCCAATGGCAAAATTTTACTATTAACTGTTAGATATAATTAATGAAACTTATCTCGTGGCCTATTTTTATACCTGTCTCCTATAATCTAGGGTCGAATTAAACAAGGGGAAAGAACTTTCCTGATATGAAGGTCACATATAATCTCCCCACGAAAAATACTGTTTACCCCCCCCCCAAGATAAACCCCTCCTGAACGATCCCTTCCCGCTTTTTCTGGAACAGGTTGAAATATCGAGAGATATAAATTATTCTCAATTATCTCAAACCTGCAAAGAGCTTTTCGATGTAAATGCGAGAGAAAATAGAACACCCCCTGTAATAATAATAAAAAAATAATTTAAAAAAATGCAGATAGGAAGGAAGCGGAAGAAATTTCTCTGTAAGTCCAGTAGTGATTTTCCAGTAATTTCTGTCAAAAGCATGGATAAAATCTTATCTAATTTATTGCCATTCCTTAGAAGAAGAAAAATTACAAAGACCTTACTTTTTTTCTTTTTTTTTTTTTGTTATTATTTTATTTACACTCTTTGGTATACTTAGTTGCCTTTATTTTTTTGTTTCGTGAAAATGTTTAGCTTTCGTCAGGTAAACACGTAACACCACGACCAGTGATGTCATTGAAAAGTTTGTTAAAGTTTAACATTTTAAATGAAATTTTAAAGCTATTTTGTTAGTATTTGTTTAGTTTAATGGTACTGATACAATGTGAAAATGTGTTTTATTGTAATATTTATAGATAAATGCGAATATTACTTTGTTTCACTGTTTCTCGGATATTTTGCACTGATAGATCATGTAAAAATGTCACCACTTTTTCGTAGATAAAGAATAGCTATGAAGCTCTAATTTTGCCAAATGCCTAACGAATTGATAACCAATGGCTATGAATCACTGGTAAACATGATAAAAACATTAGTATTTACACACTAAGCACGAGGAGTCAAACCTTAAGCAACATGAACCAGCAAAGGTAAGTTATTGTGCATTTTGTTTTCAATTTGGAACTAATTTCAATTGTGTTATTTTTTTCAATTAAATTTAAATTTAATATTGTTCTTTCAATTTTTATTCGGAATGCATTTTTGTTATTCATTCCTTTTGAAAGTATTAAGACTTACGTATCTTGTGCTTATGTGTATTAATATATGATGATTAGATACATTAATTACATAATGATTATATTATATATATTATTAATTAATGTACATTAATTATTAAAAATTAATAATGATAATTAAAAAATATTTATTCCTTCATTCTTTATCGAAATATATTGAAAGCTTTTTATTATTAAAGAAATACATAAAATATTAATGCTTTTATTGAATTTTATATTACTGTTGTAAAGATTCGATTTTCTATAAAATAATTATCTTCTTTCGGTACACATTTTTATGGAAGTACATAATATAATATATTCATATATTGCATTCATATATTAAAGATATGATCTCATATATTAGATATATGACTGTTTTATAAAAATATTTCATTACTCAATTCTATATTACCATAGCTAATAATCGACTATCTACTAAATAATTATTATTGGTACCTATACGAATTTAATGCATATATTTAGCGAGAAATTCCTTCATGTTTTGATGAAGATGTTTTCCTTCTTTCGGCATGCATTATTATGGAAATACATATTACATAAATGCTTTATAAAAATTATTAACTTTTATATTACTATTACTAATAATCGACTGTCTGATAAATAATTATTACTCGTACCTATACGAATTTAATACATATATTTAGAGAGGAATTCCTTCATGTTTTGATGGAAATATTTTTTTGGCACGCATTATTATCTAAGTGCATAATATGCAAATGCTTTACAAAAAAAAGTTTATTATTAAATTCTATATTTCTATTACTAATAATCTATTATCTGTTAAATAATTATCGCTGCTAATAAATTTTTTGATGCATACATTTAGAGAGAAAACCTTCATGTTTTGATGGAAAAGTTTTTCTTTTTTTGACATGCATTAATATAAAAATACAAAAAATATATATATGTTTTATAAAAACAATTTTATTATTAAATACCATAAATTTCTCGCTAATCTATCATATGTTAGATAGTTATCGATAGTAAGAAAATTTTTGGAGTATATACGAAGTGAAATTATTTTATTGCCATATTTTATTTCCGCTGTACCATTTTTTATTTCCGATGTTTACAGTAGAAATTCATAAAATGTAAGTGTGTTCTAGATATATTTTGTTATTCTCTTCTATACTAATATAACAAATAATCAATTTTCTGTTAAATCTATGAAGTGAAATATTAATATTTGGAAAATACTATTTGTGAAATATTTGGGAAAATGATACGAAATCGAGGCAAAACTACATGAGCATTCAGTATATGACTGAAATATTTTGTTTGCGAATTGTTGCTGTACCCCTTAACTGTAACGCAATTGGAACTTTACAGCGCTTGCCCTAAAATCTCTGAAATTCACAGCATCACTAATAGGTAGAAAATAAGATTAGTGTTATGGTTAACGCAAAACAAACGGTATGCGAAAATTCTCTTTAATCTGAACTTTACAGTTGACTCTCAATTTATAAACATATGAAATTTTGAAAATCAAAAACTATGTACAACAGATTAATATTTAATTTTTTAAAGGATTTGAAGTGAGTCTCCTTGACCGTTTCTTGTGCCAGAAAATATGTGCTATTTTTTAAAATTTTCTTAAATTTTTAATAAATTTACCTCACAATTTTTATTCTTATTTAAATTTTCTTTTAAACTTATTTATGTAAATCAACGCAAAACAATGTTGCATTTTTATTTCATGCTTTCAAGTTTTTGAATTAACAAATGCTGTATTTTGTTTCGACAAATTAAGAATGCACTTAAAAATGACAAAATTGACAGTAGGGGCTAATTTTTGTTGGCGGAACTGAAGTGGAATATTATATAAAGAATTAAAATTTATACAGGATTTAAGATTATGATCTTTGTAACTTAGTTATTTTATAGGCTGATTTTGGAATTTTGAAGCATCATTTTTAATTGAAAAATCCTTTCGATAAAGAGGGGAAATTGATGTATAGAAAAAATTATCAATAATGGTGTTTATAATTGATACTTTTAATATTTATATGTATATTTCAACTATAAATATAATTTTTCAGGAATGAACTGATTTTCAAATGGATTCCCTTGATCCTTGTGTTCTTTATTCAATTTAAGTGTGGATCTGTAAAAGCTGGAAGATATCCAGGTGCCTACTTTTTTACTATATTATAAGCAACGTATGTCTACACTGTTAAAAAAATATTGAAACATGCCGAACCACTGCAATGAGCGAATTCGATGCAACTTTAGCATTACGCCAAGTTAAACAACATTTCAGCGCAATTTAATCCTTTTTAAGCTTATTTATACAAAACAATTCACCCTGTACCGAAATAAGACATAACCTAAACAATAATTTTGTGCAGTTTAATCCTTCTTAAGCTTATTTATACAAAACAGTTCACCCTGTACCGAAATAAGACATAACCTAAACAATAATTTTGTGCAGTTTAATCCTTTTTAAGCTTATTTATACAAAACAGTTCACCCTGTACCGAAATAAGACATAACCTAAACAATAATTCCATGCAATTTAATACTTTTCAACCTTATTTACACAATACTGTTCGCCTTGTACCGAAATAATGCATAACCTAACCGGTTATTTACTCTTTGACGCAGATCGCACACCGGTGACTCTTTTTCATATATTTTTTCTTACGCTCTCATTACAAGTTAAAATATATTTTGATATTTAATTATGGAAAATAGTCTAATAGTTACTAAAAATCTGCTGGAAAATCCGAATCATATTTATACTAAAAAAAAAAAATTCCAAAAAAATAATTTAAAAAAAATGTGTTTTTCATTCATGTTCAAAAATTTCTTAAAAATTAATTTTGTAAACTAACGAAATTTTAATGATGAATAACTATTTTTCTCAGGTCGATATTACTGCAAATAAGTGTAAATTTGAAAAATTATTGTTCAGAAGTGAACTTTGTTTGGAAGATTTTATATTTAATGCAGAAAAAGGCACCTGTGTTCCATGCTGCATTTATTAACCATGAATTACTACAATGCTAAATATAATATATTTCACTTATTTTGACCCATATTAATACAGATTAATGAAAATAAGAATGAAAAACATGTTTCATAAAAATTATGCGTCAGAAGGTTAAGGTTGCAGTAAATTAGATATTATGGTTCAAAGTACCAATATTATGGTTTAACGTTGAACTAACGTTAAATATAATATATTTAACTTATTTTGACCTAAATTATCACAGATTAATGAAAAGAATACATGAAAAACATGTTTAATAAAAATTCTGCGTCAGAGGGTTAAGATTGCAGAATAAGATATTATGGTTCAATCAGTAATTATGGTTAATTATCAGTAATTATAGTAAATCAGATATTATGGTTCAAAGTACCAATATTATAGTTTAACGTTGTTATATAACTGAAAACTTTCTAATGAAACCATCATAACTTATTTAACAATTTTTGTTTAATTAATTTATGAAATAAATTTTGAGAACTTTTAAAATAAGCATTTTATGGTGTTTCAGGTTTTTATCCTTATGATCAGAGATATTCTGACGTACATATATCACCAGGAAGAGACTATGATTATTTATGTGAAACTCCAGACAAGCAACCTGGTGAGTGCAGAGCATTACATGATTGTTGGACTTCAAGTTACGTAAATATCCAGCGGGCATCATGCCAATTCTATGGAAATGTCGAGTTCTTTTGCTGCCCTTACCAAGAAACACACAATCCCGAATCTTCACCTCCAGTAAGGCATGTCGTTCAGCCTATAAAGATAGAAACTAATTCCCCCCTTAGAACACTTTTCAATCCTTTGAATGTTTTAGTAAATATTGTAGTACCCGGATTGGGTTCTTTAATCCACACAGGCGCAAGTACTGCTACTAAAGAAAGTTCATCATTAGAAATACAGGTTGCAAAAGCTACTTCTTCCCATACAACAAAAGTTACCAGCTTAATTTCTACGGTTCCTGTTAGGAGTCAAAACCATACTAAGCAAGCAGTGAGTGATCAAAAGCTATATCCTACTAAATCCACTACTTATAGTTGGAATCAGGCTACTGTATATCCATTGAACACAAACCAATCTAGAACAAGTTTAAAACCATATCCAACCAGGAAAATAGTTTTACATTGGCATTTGAATACTACAGTACATACAACACCGAGTACTACAGTGCCAACTGCTCCAAGTAGAAGACCAAGATCCACTGTAAACCCAAATAGAGAATTCGCTCAAGCAGCTTCAAACTGGAGCCTTATTTCTGAAAAGCAAACAACACCAAGTTGGCTGACTCCTACTACAAGCACTAAAAGACAAACTGCTCCAAATAGAAAACCACGATCCACTGCAAAATCAAGTAGAAAACCAGCGCAAGCAACTTCGAATTGGAGTCTTAGTTCGGAAAAGCAAACAACACCAAGTAGGCAAACTCCAGCTATAAGCAGTATAAGGCACACTGTTCCAAGTAGAAGACCTAGATCAACTAAACAATCAAGTAGAAAACCCATGCGAACAACTACAAACTGGAGCTTTAGTTCTGAAAAGCAAACACCAAGTTGGCAAACTCGTTCTTCAGGAATAACAGCTTTTCAACCAGGTAGGTAATCTATATTATACATTTTTAACTACATTTAAAATTTCGTATTAAGTAATTTTATTAGTTTATTTATAGCAAAATATTTTTTCTTAAAATCAATATAATCCATTTCGGAATTACATGATTGCTGAAAAGTTTTCAAAACGTATTAAATTTAAATAATTGTTGAATTTTTATAAATTTAATAAAGTTGTTTATTAATTTTTCTCATTATTCCTCTCATGAAAGCTTTATAAAGTCATCCGATTTCCTGTATTTAAATTAATACTATTTTCCCGTTTCGTTTTAAAGACATTGCTCTAATTGGAAAATTTCCCTTGCCTGAAGTCGTGACGGGTGGTGATATTTAAGTAAGATAAAAGCTAGTAATAAATGCATTGAAGTTTTGACTCGAAATATAAATATTTTAACTTTTATAAAGAGAAAATATACCTGATTGTTTTATTTGCCCCTGAAATAACCGAAGATTTAGGAAAATTAAATAAAAATAAAGAATATGCTGTTCGCCTTGTTCTGTTCAGTAAGCTTGAAATTTTATTCGCACTCAATCTAAAAATTTGACAAAAATTCATTAACTGGTGGTGTTGCTAACACAGGAAAACTTTTGATTTAAAGAAATTATTCGCAGAAACAACGGGCTTTATTCAGTAGCACTATCTGCCGATGAGTTTCTTAACTAATTTTCGAACTTAAGTGATCTTGTAATTATTGTATCCTAAACAAATGGCTCCAAAGCGATATTTTATAATTTGGAGCCATCTGCTCAGGAATATATTCCTTAGAATATATATAGCTTCTATTTAATTAAGTTTTTATCATTTTTTGACTATTTAATTTTGATTAATTAATTTTAAATAATTACTTTTAATTAATTATTAAAATAATTAGTTTTAATCAATTATTAAAATAATTAATTTTAATTAATTTTTCAAATATTTAATTTAAATCAAATTTTAAAAAATTAATTTTAATTAATTTTGAATAATTTTTTAAATAATTAATTTAAATTAATTTTTTAAATCGTTAGTCGTTTTGGAATGCCTGGTTGTTAATTAAAAATTTTAAATCGCCTATGAAAGGACTACAACCATACCATAATATATTTAGATCAACTTACATTTTCAATAGTATACTAAGAATTAAAACTGCAATATTTTTGACAAATTGTTATTAATTTAGTTGATCAAATAAAAATACTTATTCCATTTTATTTTAGTTTTATCTACGAGGACTACAAAATTGCCTCAGGTGATATACTTTACAAGTAGGAAACCGCAAAGCAATCCTGCTTCTCAACCAGCAGAATTACATCCTACTTCACAGCCAGGTATATCTCTTTTTTTAAAAGTATTCTTTCTACTTAAATCTATTTTTTATATTTAAAATTGCTTTTAGCAAAAATTATATACATTTTGCACACTTTTGTTACTGTGTAAAATGATGTCCATAACTATTTTATAAATTTGTAAAATAATAATAGTAATTATTTTATAACAATGAACTCATATCTACATGAAGAGAAAGATCCTAGTAAAATTAACATACTGTATGGTAGTGACATTTCTGGTTAAGAAAATCTGGTTAATAAAACCAAAATATACGGTATTGAAAACATTCATATGTTAATTGTTATATGGTAACAGTTTAACAGAAATTCTGGTTTTTCAATATTATAGTTCATATTACCACTCATTTAGTAAGAAATACAAAACTGAAAAGTAAATTTTATCGAATAATTTGTTTCTATGCCTTGCTCCATGGTATCATAGTAGAATAAGAATTTTACCAAATTTACCAAATTTAATCACACATTATAATACTATATTTTGTCGTTAATTTTACTAAAATCATTATCAAAGCTCTTTGGTAGAAATTACTTAGGTTTTTAATGTTCCCATAGAACCAGAAATACGATAAATTTTACCATATACTGGTAGTTTTGACAATGCTTTTTACAGCGCAGGTTTTAGTTTTTCACCTTTTTTCCTTTTTTAGATATTCTTTGAAATTTAATGCAATCTACAAAAATATTATATTGAAATTATTTTACGATAATTAATAAAAAATAAATAAAATTTATATTAAATAAATTGCTATTTTTTTAAAGTTGAGGCTTCTACAATTTACATAAGCACGCCACATAATCTAAACCCTTTTTTTATACACGTTAATGCATTTTAAAATTCCACAAATTCAATTTAAAGCAATTCAAGACAGTAGGCATAAAGAATAACCTAATTATGCTAGAACTTGCCCACATAATTTAATTATAACAGAGGAATTGATTAATATTCTAAACTACAAATATGTTTCCAATTGTAATATGTTCTAAATTTCAATTAATCAAATCAACATATTTTTTAACTTGAAGCAAAAATTTACTTTACTTGCATACCATTTTCCAGCAAATAATGAATTATTCTTAATGATGAAAAATAAAGTTAATTCAATGCTGATTAAAAAAGTACATAAATATTACAAAGAAGACATTGCATAATTACATAAGAAATTACATAACAATTACGGAGAAGGTATTGCATAACAATTACAGAGAAGATATTACATAACAATTTCACAGGAGATATTACATAACAATTACAGAGAGGATATTACATACCAATTACAGAGAAGATATTATATAACAATTTCACATGTAACAATCAATTTGTTTGAAATTTGAATCTAGAAAGAGAAATGTAAACGAGTTTAATTTTGGGTTTAAAATGAACGCTTTACAGAAAACATACATTTAAAAGAATTTATTCATAAAATAGCTGTTTTATCCAGAAAACAAATTTAAATATTGTAGTTACACCTGATGGGATTAAAGAAAATGTTCACGAAAACATTTATCTACTTATCTTCAGATCACATCAACATTTATCAATTTATCTTTATTCACATAAACACTATTGTACTCAAAATATATTCGTATATTTTTAAATAAAATATTTCAAGGATATAAAATAAGTGCAATCTCTGTTATAAAAGATACTCTACATTCATATTTTAAAATGATATCAGCAAAACCTTGCGGCCATCAACCAAATTTTGCAACTGTCTTTCAATGCTTTATTCACAAATTGCAAAGATGACGATTCAAGTTGTATTCCTGATCTTCTGCATTGAAGACGATTCAAGCTTCATTGCAAGCGATTAATTTACAGTGCAGACGATATTGCAAGGCTTAGTGTTTTTCGGAGACTTCATTTCTTAATAAAAAATCATCAGTACAGCAAAACTTTTCGAAGGAAATTAAACAGGAAAGAAAAAAAGGAAGCTAGTCTAGTTTTTCTGTGTTCATAATGTGATATTCACAGTTTCTTTCTTCTACAGCTGTTTGTGGGCGGCGATTTCTTACATCTAGCAGAAGCACGACTAGGCCAGAACTGCAGGCATTCGTCCTCGGCGGAACTAATTCCGAAGATCAAGCATGGCCCTGGATGGTAAGGAAAGAATAAATAGAAACCCAAATTACTGCATTAGAACACTAAAATATATCAGCAAAAATATATCGAGAAAAACAGGAATCTCTATTAAATTACACTGTAAAAAATTCCAAATTAAATTACAGTAAAAAATACCGGCACTCTGGGTGCCGGCAGGGCCGGATTAAGACCTCTTGAGGCCCTAAGCACTGAAAATATTTTGGTGCCCCCTCCTCAACAAATCAAATATATCTAGTACTAAGGCACGAGTTAATTCAAAATATAAAATCAAAATTTTTTGTAAAAAAAAGTATTTATTCAAATTAAATAAAAAAATTAAAATAGAATCAATTGAAAACTTTTCAATTAATATTAAAAAAATAACTTATGTTTGTGTGTATGTACAATGTGTAAAAAAGCAAACACTTCGAATAACTTATGATCGAAAGTTTGAACTTTTATATACTAAGACTCAAAATACTTTAAATTAAAAAAACAGACAAGTACTTTTTCTAAAAAAAGCATGCCTTTTTTTTCGATTGATTCGAATTCTTGACTCTCGAAATAAATAGCCATATGTCGAGAATTTTTCAACCCAACTAAAACATTTTAGCTCACAATAATAAAATTCATTTACCTAAAAATAGTTCATTCTAAAAATAATTTTTAAGAAGTATTAATCATTTTATATTATTTTATTTATTAACAGAATAGTCGAAAGAACTTTAAATTGAAAATTTGAACAAATGTCATTTTGAATGACAAAATACAAAATTTAATGTGTACTAAATCAATCAAATAAACCTTAATTATTCAATTTTAAAAAAGTTATATATTTAACATTTAATTTCTCAAGAACTTTTCGACAGATTTCGTTCAAATTTTATATTTTACCATTTAAATAAATATTCTTTAAAATTATATAAAAATTTGCATATTTTTAAATTAAAAATTGTTCCGACCATTAATAATAAATAATTTTAAAAAAAACTATTTTTGACAGGGAATTATTTTTAGGTTAATGAATTTTATTAATAGTTGCAAAATTTTTTCAATTCGTTTCAAAAGTTCTCGGGACATGGCGAAATGCATGAAACCTGCAATTGAATAAAAGAGTCCAAACTTTCAACCTAAAAAAACTTTTGGGATCTTAATTTCCATATTGTGAATACCATCAATATTTTGAGAAGCAAATATCCAAATTCAACAACAATAACATTTATATATGTAGGTAGAGGAAGCACGTTTGCCGGATTTCATAACTTAAAAAAAAACTTCTGCACCAACTAATTAACATATTTTAAGTTTGGCCCTCAAACCCTTTGAGATCTAGTAAGTTAAAATCCGATCATTAAATCAAGAGTTATTCAAGTTTTTTACTTTTATTTTATTTTACGCACTGTATATAATACAGCATAACTTTTACAAATAATAATGCTTTTCATTATTCCTTTTTCCTTATTAAACCTAATATATTAATAATGATAGGAAGAGGGGAAAAATAGTGATGAGTAATTTTATAAATACAACAATTATCTTTAATGATCCTATAAAATCTGGATTAAAAATCTGAAATGAACTTATTCCATAATAACAACTCACTCTAGATTTCATCTGTGGAAAACAGAACTAATTATCTAATAAAATTATTACTATTTTGTTCTATATTTTGGACATTCTCGTAGTTAGTTGACCTGTCAAAGTCAAAGGTACAGAGGAGCTTAAGAGTAATAAATTACTATCAATTAAATCTTAATTTGACTATTAAAAAAATGACCTTTTAGAAAAAATGATAGAAATCACTTAAAACTACTGCATTAAACCTGTACTTGAAATTCTCATAAGTGATAGCAGAAACTTAGGTCTGAAAAAGCTGTTACAGTAAATAAACACTCTGTCCTCAATAAGTAAATAAATGCATAAACAAAATACTTTAAATAACTATAAATTCAATGATCAGATTTTCATTTACAAATTCAGAACATTCGTGTTTTTATAATACAAAACAAAAACATAAATATAGCAACAATGAATATAATATAAAAACTGAACTTAAATAATAATCAGTAGAAAATAACAGACCATCATTTTTAATTTATTCACTTTTTTTGTGTTACGATATTTTTTATTCCTGTATGCATACGCGTACATAATACCACATAAGTTTTATAGAAAATAATTTCAGGTTTGGAAAAATATAATCATAAATGTAAATAATCATATGTATGTAATTTTATTAAACCAATATTTATCTTAAACCAACTAAAATCTACTTTGCCTACTAAAATTTTATGTACTAAATATTTTACATATTCTTTACAACATTTAAAGACAAATTCGTAAAATAAATCAAAATAAAATTTGTGTATTGTTACCTAAAATTTTTATTTTAAATCGAATAACTATTTTAATTATAACGTCATAGAATGAAATTTATTTCGATAAGATCATTCATTTAAAAAATTTAATTACTTCTTAAAACTTATAATACGGCAGCCCCTCTTAAAAAACATGTCACATTGTATTTTTAACAAAAGCTTGAAATTTGTTTTTATTGCTTTTGAGTATTATTGTGTAATAGAATGCTTAAATGTAAAAAAAATTATATAATTTTTAATAATTGTAATTTTATTTTTACATTTAAGTTTAATTTTTTATTATTAAAATATAATACTATAGGAAAATTAAACTCTTCGCTTATATTGATTTAGACAAAATCAATATTGATCGATAAATAATAATTATTGATAAAATTATTTGAAGGATTTAGCTACTACCTGAAGCAACATCAGTTTTACACTATTACAGCATGCTTTCAAAAGCAATAGTTTAGAATAATGTTTTAGTAGAATAAACTTTTTCTGTGCATTCATGTAGGATTCAGTGCACTCACGTTCTGTGCATTCACGTATACACGGGGGTGTGTAAATACGAGAAATTAGTTACTGATTGTAGCATAAATAATGTTATTGGTTAAAAATTATGTCAATCAAGAAACTTTTCTTTTCCTAGACCTCCCACTTTCTTCAATCTTATAAGTCACCATTTATTTGTATATCTACCCCCTCGAAAGGAAGACAATTTGAATTTTCTGAGATATGCACCCTTTTTTCTTTTGAAAAAAAAAAGAAAAAAAAGGGGGAATGAGTCCCCTATAAAGATATCTGAGATGAAAGGATGTTCTCTGTCTGTAGTAAATCAATTGGTTACGCTTGTCTTATCCTTAAAGTGTTTCTTCTCAGAAAATTTAGCTTTGTATTCTAACACATATGTTGGTGACAATCACGGTGGTCCTTTTCAGGAACCTTCGAATTCATGGAATCGAATGCTGGCAACATACAGATTTTGTTGTTTTACTGGATTGTTTGTTATAGGCAGAAAGCAAGATCAGGTTAAATTGAACCACGTTTCCCAGAAGTCTATTACTTATAATAAAATAACAGGGAACAACAATATTTTTCCCACTCGTTTATGCAGAATGACCAATTTTTATTTTAAGAAAAAATTAATGGATAATGGAAATACCTTAACTAATTATTTATTTATTTCAATCTGATTTACACACGAGCTACAAGTAAAAATTAAGCACAACTATTAAAATTTTTTTTAGTGACGGAAATAATATTATTATATTCAAAATATTTACATGTTCAAAATATTTACATGTTCAAATTATCATCATAATAAAAGTTGATGAAATTACACACATATATTGTATATATATATAATCATTATCATTAAGGATTTTCCTTATTAGTTATTAAACATATTTTAAAATTCAATTAATAAAAATATCTTTCTTAAATTTGCTATTTATTTTTAATTTGAAATTTTCAGTACTTTTCTTATTTCTTAATTATAATTTTTACAAATTTCGTTATAAGTTGCACAAAATATAGTTTACTTGCACTAAACAAAATTCAATGATTAAAAATTTTATCTTATTGCTACTTATTTCTTACATTTGCTTTCAAAATTAAATTAGTTTTAATGGGTACTCTTCTTAACGTATTTTTCAATGTCAGCGAGCATCCGGTTCACATTGAGAATTTACACATTTTTTGTGCTCAACTTTTATAACATTTGTATTTATACAAGACTCTAAGGACTAAGGAACCTATAATTCTTTCCTTATTCAAAAACTAGCTGCTTGCATTCATATTACGTAGTATATATTTTAAATCTTAAAATCTAATTTCGTTATTCGATATATATCGATAAAAAAAATCATAAGTGATGAGAAGTGTGTGGTCATATTTTTCCTAAATTTAACCTCTCCTCCACAAAGAAATTTCGAAAAATGATTCTTAAACACAGCTCCTTTTTCTTAATTTAGTGAATAAAAAAAATTACTTGACGTAAATTTTTGCAACACAACCTTTACGTAATTTGATGACTTCTTTTCCAGTTACAATGAGAATATAATTAAAAATATAGTATAAGCAAATATTTTATGTAGTATAAACAAAAACCTGCACAGAAACTGCAAACATGCACAACATAGATTTTTTTTTCACATCAAAAATCAAATTTTTTACATCATCAAACCATTGCATCAAAATTTTGTAAATCAAATTTTTTTTCATAAAAATATCAAATTTCTGGAGTATTAAATTCTACAACTGCGAAAAATATTCTGTAAACATGAATCGTAGCAGTATGTTATGGAATCATTGTAATGGATAAATAAATAGAGCTTTTATCGCACAGAAATTCACTACCTAATTTCATTATAAGACCGAACATTTTTGTTACAAAACATCTTTTGTTTTTTTTTTCTTTTATTATGTGAAATTTCGTACTTAGAAATGGTTGTTATCTACTCTTAAAATGGAAGCTCAAAATAATAAATTTGTTATCAATGTTTCAAAAAAAAAAAAAAAAATTTACTGCGAACATTTAGTTAGGCTTTGTGGTGCCCCCCTATCCTCTGGTGCCCTAAGCACGTGCTTAGTGTGCTTAATGTTTAATCCGGCCTTGGGTGCCGGTACTTTTTACACAAAAGTTCATTTTTACCGGAACATATTATGGAACATATATGGTAATTTTTACAGCAATTATTATCGCAAAATCACTGAATCACTCTAATTAAATAAGTATTACTGCAAAAATTACTGCATAATATTTTTCGATAAAATTGGATATTACGGATGATGCATCGAAAGTGCCGGTACTTTATATCGAAATTTGATCCGGAATTTTTTACAGTTTAGAGAGTCAGCAGGGAGTAAGACAAGGACTTTAAAACATATCAAAATTGTTTAAGAAATATAAATAAACACTTCTTAACTAATGATGTTATGCAATTTAAATTTCAATATTTTGTGATAAGCTGGAAAATTAAAATTGAAATACTGGCTATAGTTTTTTTTAAATAATTTTGTTATTATCCCCTAGAAGAACCACTTTACGTGATGCCAAAAACTATTAAGAAAAAAATTTAAATCACAAGATTAAATAACATTTACAATCATAAAACAAATGAATGTTTTCCTTTTAGGCTTCAGTACACTCCTGGAATCAATTTGGTCTGAGTCGCTTCATTTGTGGAGGAAGTTTAATAACTTCACGTCATATTCTAACAGCAGCTCATTGTTTTGACAACAAGTATTTATCCAATATAATATTTATTTTCCTTTGCACGTGAAATTCAAAAATTTGTTTCTGCAAATGATTTTATAAGCATTTACTAATGCAATATTTAGATACGTCTGTTAATTTTTTCTTTAAAAAAATTACTAAAATTGTAATATATGTGTAAAAATTTAGATAAAATGTTTTTTTAAAACAGACTTCCTTATAACGACATTGGAATCTATATACTAACTATGTATTCTTTTTATTTCATTATTATGTCACGCATTGTACAGTGATGAAAATAAAAAACGGACCACCCTGAATAATATTTGATCTAATGATCGGATCTTCACTTTCTAGGATTGAATCTTAATGGTCCGAAGAGGGGCTTTCATATATGGTAGTAATTAATTAATTCAGACGATATTTTAAGTTATGAAATCGAACACAAAAACGTAATTTCTCTGAATAAACATACTTTTTTTCCAACGGATTCGGATTTTTGACCCCCAAAATATAGGGGGTAATCGCAATCTGGGAAATATGGTCCTCCTAGTTTTATCAGCAGCAGACCGATCCCAAGTTTGGAATCCTTATTGTTAATTTTATTTTTTGCGTATTTCGCAATATCTTAAGAACTTTTAAAGTCAATTGCAAGTTTTTTACATACAATTATGAAATTAATTTTTCCAAGGATAATTGAACGCAAGAAAATAATTTTTAGTAAGAAAGCCAAAGAGTTTAATCAAAAATTTGACACAGTAAAAAAAAAATTAACTTCTCAGCAAACTATATTATCTTTTTACACAAGTTATCTTGGTCAGGGCTGTGCTCTATGCCTTTGGTCCCATTTAACTTGTACTTTTCGACACTTGTCAAACGACAACAACAACAACTCAAATTATCTGCACCGTTAACTTTTTTGGTGAAAATCAAAGTTATATTTCTTAAATTATCCCCCATTTTGCTTTTAATTTTTTACACTCGTCTTTTGTTCTGTCAATTGATCATATTTTTTATTTCAAATACAGGAATAGTGTCATGAGGTACACAGCCATCCTCGGAGTAACTAATCTCACTTTGGTGTCTGACGAAGAAAGTGAATTCATCCAAGAGCATCGACGCATAACTAGAATAAAACTCCATGATGAATACAAGCAGAGAATTTACTACCATGACATTGCAATCATCATTTTATCCGAAGATGTCATATTAAACAGCAAAGTATCAACTCTTTGTTTACCTACAACGCAGGATCTGACGTCAATGAATCCTCAAACTCCGGCTACTGTAGCTGGATGGGGTCACACTAGCTTCGGTAAGAATGAAAGTGCTTGCAGTGCTTGTCTTATACGTATTGTCTTTGTTCGCATAATCTTTTATTTTCGGGTCTGGTACTCTTTCTCAAGACTCGATTGCCGACAGATCGATTGCATAACTCCGTTTGCCCGACAACTCATTTGCCCAACAGGTACGTTTGCTCGACAGATCATTTTACGGACAGTTGCCAGACAGTTCATTTCCCGACAAAGAATACGAAAACCCTAACTGATTGACAGATATAATTGATCGGATGAATCTCTAATTTTTCTAAAAAATTATTAATTAAGCAGTCTACGCTCTTCAGTAAAACCCTCCATTACAGCCACCTTCCCGTTACAACGGCCGATACATTAAGTATCGTTTTTTATTTCACAGACTCAATGTTACTTTAACGCCTATTAGAACGTTTGCCCTGAAACGTTCATTTGAATATAGCAACCTAAGGGCCGAGATAGCCTGGTTGGTTGGGCACAGGGCCCATGTCCAAGAGTTCGTGGGGTCGATCGCAGCCGGCCGAAGACTCCCCGTGTAGTAAATGGTGACTGATGCACGTTAAAATTCTGTCGAGTCGAAAAGTCCGCCATGTTCCCATAACAAATCAATGCCTCTGGGGGTACTGATCCAGGAGTTGCCTTGTCTTCTGGATTGGTTCAAAATTACAAGGCTACAGAGTTGAACATTGGTAGTCGTAAACCCAAAATTGGGTCGGCAATAATATATTTTTACATATATATTTTTACAATTCTAATTGTATGTCCTGTAGAATTCTGCAAAAATCAGACAAATTTCTTTTTTTTATCCTTTCAGGTGGATTGAGTAGCAACGTTTTGCAAGATGCCGAACTTCAAATAATAAATTTTAATCGGTGCCAAAACTCCTACGATCGATTTCGAACGAAATCTCTACCACACGGAATTACATCTGATATGCTGTGTGCTGGAAAACCTGGAGGAAAAGGAGATGCTTGTCAAGTAAATACTTTGAATAATTAATAGAATGAATTCAATCACTAATTGTATAACAAATTTTAAAATATCTGTGAGAAACAAAACAATTCGAAATTAATGCGCACACATACTATTAAATCAATACTAAGAATGACAAGAACAAAACTTAAAAAATACTCTTTAAGTAATTAAATGCCACTGTGCTAATTTTTTATTTATTAAAAACATTGTTGAACTTATTTTTTGAATATGTCAAAATGTAAAGTTTTTTTTTAAATTTAAAAAGTGAATTTATTGCCGTTTTTTAATAGTAAACTGAAATAGTCTTTAGAAACTAATAATTGATCCTGATAGATTTCTGAATGCTGATTTCTCGAAAAATATGGAAAAAACTATCATGAAGTCAGTTGTCTTATGATCTAACGGGAATTTCTCTACAAAAGTTGGCTTAATTTAAGGATCGAATTTAACTGGACGACCAGAGATTAGCATACCAACCACGAATGGTTCTTTCAGCTATAACATAACACACAGCGAAAATGTCACGAGAAATGTTTGCTGTCTTAGAACTACGATAAAAAGTAAATCGAAGGAGGTATGGGTCTAAAATACTCATTTTTCTCAACTTTACTTCATTTCAATAATATGAAAATTGACATAAATTAACTCGAGCAAGAAAAATCCTAGATTCGGGTTGGACAAAAAATACCGTTTTCTGAATAATTTAAAATATTTTGCCAAAACCTTTAATATGATATAAAATGCTAAAATTAAAAAAAAAAAAACGTGTTTGCCAGGCTAATAGATAGTCAGAAAACGCCTAGGCACAATCGATTGATATTTTTTTATGTCATTTTAACTAATATGCTTTAAAATTCATTTTAGTGCATTTTCATTCCTTTATCATTGATTGTTGTTTTCCTTGATTGCTCTTTTCCATTGATTGTTTCTTTATCATTGATTGTGATGATGTTTTCAGGGAGATTCAGGCGGTCCTTTAGTAGTGGAGAAAGGAAAAAAATGGATTCAGATAGGCATTGTATCTTTCGGTTATCAATGTGGACTTGTTGAATATCCTGGTGTGTACACTAAAGTTTCATCCTATTTGACATGGATTCAGCGTATTTTACAAGGAAAATGAATCACAGAAAATGAAATGTATATATTGTACTGTAAAAATAAACATTTATTTATTATAATTCTTTATTTCTACTATACATGAACTATATATTTTTTCTATGCATCTGCCACCGAGCACATTGTTGTATGAACTGCTCCTTCCGTATTCTTTCCCCTTTAACTAAATCCATCGCAAGTTCGCCTTCAAATGTGGTGAACCGGGTTCAAATCCCAGCAATAGCTGGTCGACACGAATTCCGCTCCCGGTTCGCATCGACCACAGTGCTGACGTAAAAAATCCTTAGCGGTTGACGGATCCTGTGTTAGAGTACCTTTGCCGTCAAGATAACCAAAAGGAAGTTTTCGAAGTTTTCCCTCCATGTAACGCAAATGCTCCCAATACTTGATTCATTAGTCCCCCGTCTTTTGAATTGGGTTCAAAATTGCAAGGCAGCGGAGTTGAACAGTAGTAGTCGTACAGTCAAAATTGGGTCGATTGTTAAAAGACAGTTATAAAATATAAAATAACTAACCATGAATACCTTTAGAAGTGCTTTTTATTACTAAATAGAAATAGTTATAGGAACAAATGATGGTTCAAGAAAAAGCAATTTTTTTGTCACATCTGTTGTAATTTATTGTGCGTTTTATTGTGCGCAGGAAATTGAAGTTAATGGCTTAAGGAATTATTATTTTAATTGCTTTCAAGAAAACAATTACAATAATGTTTAAAAACACTATTAAATTCAAATGATACAGGTTTCAGTTCTAAGAAACAACGATGCATTTAACCATCCGGCAAATTATCAATACTAACAATGAATGCCTTTAGAATTTTTTTATTACTAACTAGAAATAGTTAGTAAGAAATGATGATACAAGAAAAAGCAATATAATTGTCACATCAGTTGCAACAAAATTATTCTGTCACAGTTGCTCATAAATTTCTGTCACATAAATTGTTAATGAAGCAAAAATTTATTGTGCGCATTAAATTGAAGTTAATGGTTTGAAGAATATGAATTTTCAATAGTTGTATATCGTGCAGGAAAGCACAAGACAGGCAAATTGCATTTTCTTACTTGTTTACTTTCTATGTCCGTGGGCTGACTTTTTCAAGGTCGAGAGGTTATTTTGTATCTCAACACGCAACTATTAGTGTCCCAAAACCAGATAGAAGTGAGGAAAGAAATCAGAAAAACCCTGCACAATAACTTTCTTCCCTAGAATTGTTCAATTCCATGAAGAAATAGATATTGCTTTGGAGTTTTTAACTGATATGGATGATATTTCGGTGAGTAAAATCTGACAATCACTAACTGTCAGTAATACCTGTTTGTTATGTCTTTTGTGAATTATTTATTTGGTCTTTAGAAGTAAAGATATCTTAAAATGCTGATAATAATTGGGGCAATTCAATAGCAGATAAATATATGATTGATACGCAATACCAAATACCTCAACATTTAACTATCGATGTGCTTTACAAATTATTATTTAGTTTTGATAAAAAAAAACTTTTATATTAAATATATTAAAATTCAATAACTGACTAATGTAAGATAAATCCACAGTTATATACATCCATCCAATGTGTTTCCCCCAAAAAATATTGATAATAATTATAAATATTTAATGACAATTATTTGGATAATCAACTGTTATTAAATCATCCATCTATACATGATTATCTATGTACTTTACAAATTATTTGGTTTTTATTAAAAATTTAACGATATCAATTATGGCAATCGAATGATATATAAATAATTGGTATATCCATAGTTATTAAATAATTCATCCACATGCAATTATTCATGACTTATTACGAATCATTATTAGGCCTTAATTAAGAGAAATAGATAGTAATTATGACAATTCAAATAACAGATAAATATTTAGTTAATTATCTCATCATAGCTATAATTAGCACATCCATCCACAAACAATTATCTTCGTGTTTTACGAATTAAATTGTATTACAATTATATACATTCCTTTTTTTTTTCGGTGAATTATTTATTTGGTCCCTATCAGCAAACATTAGTGGAAAATATCAATGTTGTAGCAAGTAAATAATAATAATGTTGAATAAAAAATTCTTTTTTTTTTTCTATTTTTTTCCCGAAAATTAAAATATTTCTCATTTTTCTAAAATGGCCATGTTGATCACAGAAATGATAAATAAAATCTTTCATCAACCTAAGTTTGAAACAATTAAACTCTAACTACTTTGCTTGAAATCCCTACTAATGTTTTGGAAAAACTCATTTTCAGCGAAAATCAAGAGTTTCGTGGTCGTTTTTCCGATCAGTGTGGCAGATTTAATAAAAATAATAAAAAGGGGGGCAATTTTGTGATGGTGCGATTAAGATCATTGTTGTTAAGAATTCATCACGTGTTTTTATCAATAACTTAAATAAAACGTTTTATTTTTACTTATGCTTTTAGCCTTGTATTTATTCTTTTACTTATGCACTTGACCTTGATTTTATTCTATTACTTATGTATCTGTCTTAATTAAAAACTTAAAGTAAATATTGTGTCAATTGTAGGTTGATTTTAATACAAAATGAAACTTTTGGAGATTTTTCTATTTGAATATCAACAGTTGGAGCAAGTATTTAGGAATAAGAGAAATTAATGCTTGCCTTCTACACTCTAAAAAGTACCGACTCTCATAATGCCGGTATTTCTATATATAAAATCCATCTTTATAGGAACAAATTACAGAATAAAGAATCTGTGGTACCGTAATTTTTACAGTAAAATCACTGAATCACTCTAATTAAATAAATATGACTGTAATTTTACAGTAATAGTTACAGTAAAATCACTGAATCACTCTAAATAAATATGACTGTAAAAATTACGGTAAAATGGATTTTACGGATAATACAACCGAAGTGCTGGGAACTTATATCGTAATTTGAACCGTAATTTTTTACAGCGATGATAAAGAAATGGTATGGGGACACAAAATGAAATATCTGAAATTCATTTCAATATTTAAGACCGATAATTAAAAAACATTTTATTTGAAAACTAGAGAACATGAGTCAAAACTTATGAAAAAAAATATTATTTAAAATTTATTTTCTTTAAACAAAAAAGCGCAGTAAAGATTTTTCGCTATTTTAGTTAAACGTTTTCGAATAGAAAAATGTGATTGATAATATAAAAACATTATTCAATAGTAGTAATTCACAAACTTTTATGGGTAACTTCTGTACCTCTTCACATATTTTAAGAATAGTTTTGTTATGAATATTTTTTCAATTATAGTGGAAAAAATAATAAAATACATGCTGGTATAGTTTAAATATGTGACTGGGTGGCGCAGTTGGTTTGTCGCAGCCCAAGTCTGCGGGTTCGATCCCCGGCCCAGACACCGGATTTTCGGGATGCAGAAAATCCTCAGCGGCCATGTCGTACGATTATGCGGCATGTAAAAGATCCCTGGAGTGCCTTATTGGCTCTTGTCATTTCCGGCAAAATTGAATTCCTAGTGCACTTTAGTATCCAAATAGAGTCTCGGTGCTGCCATCTAGTGTGGCAGAAACTAGACGTCCAAATTAACATGACCAACGGTATCTCACCCATTGTGGTGGTCCTGAAAGAGTGGATACCACCTCTGGAGAACGCACTAGGTCTGCTCATCAGCAAGACCGATTGCGCAGCTCATTGGAAATAAAAAAAAAGTTTGAATATTACATTTGAAGGAGGGAAAGTAATTATGTTTTCGGTATATTAAAAAGGAAATTATGTTTTTTTTTTTCTTTTTTGAAATAAATTTATTAAAGAAAAAACTGAGTTTCTGTCATTTGTATGAAGAATATTAAGACTTTTTCAACTCATGAAGGTTTATAATTCTACAAACTAAGTTGAACATATTAAAATACATGGAGAAAAAAATTCTAGTAAAAATACCGTACTTTAATGACATTTCAGGTAATAAAAACTAAAATATACGGTATTTAAACCATTCCTTTGGTAGTTTTTCCTTTCATATAATAACGGTTTATCTAAAATTCTGGTAATTGAAATTAGAGTTCTTATTACCACACATTTAGTAAAAATCACAAAACTGAGAAATAAATTTAACCGAATGTGTGGTTTTTATGCCATGCTCTATGGTATTATAATAAAATTACAAAAATTTATGACATTTACAAAATTTTCTCATATATTATAAAGCAATATTTTAATTTTCCTTTTACCAAAATCATTACCAAAGCGCTTCGGTGAAAATTTCCAAGCCTTTTGGTGTTCCCATAAAGCCAGAAACTCGGTAAATTTTACCATATTCTGGTAAAATATTATCTGAACCATACTTATTTTCGCATTGTAAGATTATAAATATTTTTTTACTTTCCATAAAATGTAAAAATCCAGTTTATAGGTAATTTTTTAATTGTATGTGAATTTCTTTTGAAGAATAGCAATCAGACAACGTGAAGAAAATGACAGAATATTGACACTTTGACATTATGAACCATGCTGATTATTTTGGTTTTTACTACAGTTTTACTGCTGAATATTTTCAAAATAGGTGAGAAAAATATTATAATTCTATTTTTTATTTTGCTACATTGCAGGGCCTGATTATTTCCTAGGCCCCACAGGCATGGGCTTAGGGCCCACAATTTCCCCTTCCTCCCTTTTTGCCTCATCATAGATGGCTGAAAGCTTATTCTTTCAGCATTCCTAATGAGAGATCAATAGATATGCTATTTCTTTACAGTGTTTGGCGACTTATAATATCCTTATAAGTGGACAAATTTGTACCAAAAATCACCTAAGCTTTCATTTTTCTCTCTCTCTGTCTCTCTCTCTTTTTTTCTTCTTCTTCTTTTTTTTTTTTTTTTTTTTTTTTTTTTTTTTTTTTTTNTTTTTTTTTTTTTTTTTTTTTTTTTTTTTTTTTTTTTTTTTTTTGAATTAGAAAATTGAACTAGAGCATTCTTCTTGCCTTATAGCTTTCTGATTTCTTCTTGTTTTCAATAAAAAGCATGCTATTAAAATATACTAGTGGGCTGCGCCCAATGCTCGCAAACGCTCGCCAACCCCCCAAAATTGCTACGCAATCTTATATGGCTTGCTTCGCAAACCAAGCTCGCTTTGCTCGCTACTAACTTAGGTACATTGCAAATGCACAAAATTCTAAGAATTCAAAACAATCATTCAAATCCATATAACAACTTTTTTTTAAAAAAAAATTACATCTTTTTAGTAAATACTAAGGGATTAAAATAAATTTGAATTCAAATAAATGACATGTAATTCGTTAAACCTATTAGAAATGTGCTATAGTATAAAATCTTAAGATAAAATTTCTAAAACTGAAATCTCTATAAAAAGGTTAAAATTTTGGCTATAATTAAGTCTATTAAAAATTGAAATAAGTGAATTGCAATGGAAAAACTTGCATAAACGAATGAATTCTATTAAAACAAATAAATTCGTGATATAAATCACAAATCATCTAATAAATTCGTAATATATAAATTAGTGAAAAAAAACGCTTTCGACAAAATACTAAAATTGAGATCTATCGACAAAGACTACTCACTTCTGCCTAGCTCATGCTCTCTCTTTTTATTTCAGTTTCCGTTTTTAAAAGCGCTATATGTTGAGCCATCTCAACTAGATTTGGCATGTGACATTTTTAGCGGCAATCATTGGTCGATTTTCTAGCGTTGCCATTCGGGGGGTTGTAATGAGGCTTTTTTTTGTCGCCGTGTAAGAGAAATATATATATAGATTTATCGTAAAATAAATATTATGTGTTTAAGTTCATGTTTCAAATATAGATTGCATGTTTTAAATTGTTTTTTCTCGAGTGCTAGTCTATTAACAAATATTATGCGTTTGACATTATCAAGCATGAAAATTTCAGCATGAACAATTGAGAACAATCATGAACAATCTAAATTTTACTGTGGCTTGAAATTCGCTCTCTGTGATGATAAGAAGTTACAAATATTTGTAAAAATTGTTTAACATATGCATTTAAGGAAGCATATGCTCGTGTATTTTTTAAAGAAATCTAAATATAAATAAATCATTGATAATATTATCAAACTACCTTAGAATCAAAAACTTCCTTAGAATTCGTTTTATCAAGCTTCCTTAGAATCAAAATAAAATGTTAAATGTTAATTTAAAACAAATTTAACCGTCATTTGAAAAATAATTAAACATTGAAAGAAATTATTGTGACATATATCTATAAAGATTTTTCTCTCTTCTTGATTTCAGAAGCAAGTAGTTTCAGTCGAATCAGGTGCAAGTCTGAGTCTGGTCATGCCGGTCTCTGTGTTGCAAAACGGTATTGTAGAATCCAAAACGTGAAGTTGTCACCTTGCATGGCGCATGATCCATCTCTTTACTGTTGCCCATTTCCGACAGATGGCGTTAAGGACTGGGATGTTGAAGATTCGTCGGTAATTACTTATCCCAGTGATGAAGTCCTGGGATCAAAAAAAATTGTGAGTCAATCTGTTCATACTAGTGTAAAAATATTTCAAAATACACACAATCAATACGGAGAAAAAAAACCTGGTAAATTCCCATACTTGTAAGGTAAAGACATTTCTTGAAAAAAAAAAACGGGAATTCCGGTAATAAGACTAAAATTTACGGTATTTAAACTGTTCGTTTGGTTATGGTAATTGTTTATCATAACAAAGCTCATACCTAGAAATTGTGGTTATAGAAAAGTAAAAGACTTATTACCAAACATTTAGTTGTTTCTAATTTCACTTGCCAATAGCAAGTGAATTTAATGCAGAGGGTGCGTTTCTTGTTATTCAATGGCGCCATCTACGGCCAAGAATACGTCTTTAGTCACACACACACACACACGTCCCAGACCGTTAAAAAGGGCGGACCGATTCATGCATCCGTTCATTCATCCATAGATCGCAATTTCGACCTGAACCAGTGAACGATCAATCTTCAATTCAGTACCCCCATAGGTCTTTATTTGTTCTGGGAACTTAGAGGACTTCATGACCCAACTGATTTAACGTGCACCACTCACCATTCATTACACGGGGAGTCTTTGGCCGACAGAAATTGAACTCGCTACCTCTAGGGCATGGATCCAACGACCTACCAACCAGGCTATCTCGGCCACTGAGCAAAACACAAAGTTTGAACAAACTCGACGAAATAATTTCTGAGAAATGATATTTTAAATATACGACTTATTTAAAATTTGATTTCTCTATTCAGGAACCATTGATATTTTCCCTCCCCATTTTGCACAAATGTTGTTGAATTTCATTCAGTCGATTTCATCCTTCGCAGCTTTTGTGATAGTGGGCTGCTCTTGTTGTAAATCCGAGATTTTTTCTGAAAGAGCCCATAATAATGCAAATTTTATAGTTACATTTTATGATACAGGTGACAAATTCTGATCCCCACGAAAGAAAATTACTGAGCCCAGAAAAAAGCACAATGATACTCGACGATGAGAGAGCGTTGTTCTTTCGTTCTAGCAATTCCATTCCCAGTAGCCCTGAACTATCAAAAGTCATACTGCCTTCCTCATCTCAATAAAAATAACAGAGCCACGATGGCTCAGGGGATAGAGAGTTCGCCTTCCAATGAGGTGAACCGGCTTCGAATCCCAGCAATGGCTGGTCGATACGAATTCGGTATTCGGCTTGCACCGACCACAGTGCTGACGTGAAATGTCCTTGGTGGCAGACGGATCATGGGTTAGAGTCCCTTTACAGTAAGGTTAACCGTGGGAGGTACTCTTGGTCTTTCTCTCCATGTAACGCAAATGTGGGTTAGTTCCATCAAAAAGTCCTCCACGAAGCCAAATTTCTTCCATTACTTGATCCAGGAGCTCTTCTGGATTGAGTTCAAAATTACAAGGCTACTGAGATGAACATTAGTAGTCATAAGCCCAAAAATTGGGTCGACTGTAGGACGGTGGTTATAAAATAAAATAAAAATAGCAAAGCCCCTTTTTAATAACCCATTGTGCTGCTTTATAGCTTGTACTATACTGAAAACTTTATAAATCAACAACAACAAGAAATAATTAACAAAAAGTTTTAATTAAGAACTTGTGTTTTCCATCAAAATTATTTCCAGTATGAATTTTAGAACACACTGTATTAGACGATTTTCTTTATGACATAGTAATTTTCCGTATTTTAATTTAATCTTTACAGGCATCAAGTGGAGAAATTGAGTTGCATGCCGGAAACGACAAGATAGTATTTCCAAACCCCGATAAGATAATTCCTAATTTTAAGCCTAGAATTCCAACTACGACATCCATAATTCCTCCAAATATTACTCCTGAATCCAATACAGTTCGAAGTATTCTCAATTCTGAAGAACAAAAATCCTTGGAAAGAAACCCACATGAGGTCTACGATAGTTCTGAGATTGAAAACCATGATACTGAAATTCCGTTTATATTGATCACTACATCAAAAACCATCGAAACATCAAAAACTCTTACTCCGATACCAAGAGAAAATACTGATGACATCACTGAACTTTCGCTTGTTTCATCTGAAGTCGCTGGTACACAGAGCTATGGAACAAAAAAGGATGATGGCGTTGAGTCATTTTTTTCAACTGTTTCATCAATCACGTTGAATAAATTGACATTTGGACCTTTTGATAGCCTTGAAACAAATAGAGCTTCCGAACCAGGTATTCAATTCTAAACTTTTCGTCCACTCTTTGTTTTCCAATTTATTCACTGGACTATCATTGTTACCAACTAACCCCATTTTACTATCATTTTTACCAAGTTATCCTTCTGACTACCATATCCAGTTACCCATTTAAATGTCATTGTTACCAAGTTTCCCATTTAATTAACTTATAATCCATTTGACTCCCAACTCCACTATGCAAGATGTTTTTTTATACAGTAATGGTGCCATTTATTTTTGAGTTCAATTATTATTTCCCGATCGGTTAAGGATAGGGAAATAATAATTGATTCATGTAAATTTTCGGCGCAAGAGCCATGGTTTGCCTATGCTGAAACCAAAACTAGGTTAAAATTACTGTAACTTGGTTAAAATCAGAACAACCAGGTTAAAATGAGTAAACTGTCCAAAACTAAAATAATTGGTTTCAAATTTGTCTACTCGCTTACAGATAGAAATGAACCATATTTTAAAACCGGATATTTTTTAAACACTTTCTATTTAGCGGGCGTGCTCTGTCTAAAAATTGACGTTTTTGGATTTCAAACTATTAAAAAAAACTGCTCTGAAAACCTGAAAAAATTCACACTTATTCTTCGTCAGGCACTTACAAGGAAAATATAAAAGAAAAATCCCTTTACATGAGTTGATTTTATGACATACTCTCTTTGTACAAGTCTCCTAGTACCAAAAACAGGCCTCCAGGTACCAAAAACATAACAGTTTTGTCCATCGGAAGTGGAGAATTTTCCTTATATGAGGCCTGTTAAGATCGGAAAGATATTTAGAGTTACGAAGGTTTATTTTTTGTATCATGCTTTAATTTCTTCTAACAGGAGGTTTTTTAAAAATGGTTTTAAGCATAATATGTTTATTGTTAATTGAACGACAGCAAAAAATGTTAAATATTCTAGTTTAGAACTTCCAAAATATAATAATAACACCAGGATTCTCAAAGCCGTTTTTAATCAAAAAGTAGGAATAAAATGAGGGATTAAGTTAAAAGAGAGGATTTTTAACAAGGGTTCACATGCAGACTAAAAAGTCCCCCTTTTTACCGTATTGAAAAATTTCTTTAGCCTGGAAAGTGAAATGATACTTTAAGGCAAACTTTGAAATGATAATTTATGTGTTTAAATATATTTAAAATGTTATTAAAAGTATATATATAGTTTAATTACTACTAATTTAAATGCTGTATTAATTAAATGTAAAATTAAAGTAATAATTGATTATGTCAATTTTATAAATAAATTAAGTAAGTTTAAGAAGAATCTTCGGACAATGACAAACTAGTCCTTTTAAATTTTTTATTGGAAATAGTAAATGACAATTTTTTGTGTGACTCTTTAGGTTTCTGAATAGCCCAGTGGAGTTCATAAGTCAATTTTTCTGTTGGAGAAACTTGAACAGCTAATATCAAAATTAAATAACGCAAGTTATAGATTAATTTTTAGCTACTATTGAACCTAATATAATTTTGTTTACCAATGGCAACTCATAATTTTGATTCAGCTTGATTAAAGGGATTTTTTTTATCCTACAGGAAATTGAAAGTTACAAGTGTTTCTAACTTTGTAATGCAATAACTGATTGTACAAATAATAATTATTTAACAAAGGTTTTATTTATTTTATTATTTTTATTATTTATTTATTTTTTATGCATTTTTTATATAAGTAACAATTATACTCAAAACTGCGTAAAACATCATAAGGATAAACATTATAAGAAAAACATTATGCGTAAAACTTTATAAGAAATATTTATTCTTTATTGCGTCTTCAACGTTGTGTTTTTCTTACGTTTACTCATATATATATAGTTCAATTTATTACTTTTAATTATTTATTAGAAATTTATGTGCTTTAGAAACTGACATTTCTTTAATTTTTTATCTATATTTTTATAGCTTGTGGTCGTGCTCCTTACTCGCCAAATATTTCTGGAGGTACTGAATCAAGAGCGAATCAATGGCCGTGGATGGTGAATATTCTTTTTGAGCATATTTAACTGAATATTCAATAACTATTTTGAACATTAAACAATCGTTATTATAGTAAAAGAATGGATATTCACATTTTATATTTTGCGTGAACTACTTCTGAAATATTTAGAAATGAAAAGATTTAATGAACCATATGATTTGTTATGAATACTTTTTTTAACTAAAATAATTGCATTAATGCAAGTTCGAAATTTTTTTCAATCAAACCTTTATTGGAATTTGCCTTTATTGAAATATATTGGCCTAATTGGTGCTTCAAGTGCTGTAAAGGTACTACACTCGGATAGATAAAGCAAAGGTGTCTAGTATATGCACACAAAAGTCGTATACGATTTTTGTTTAATTAATAATCATTGCAACTATGAATTCCTGATTTAGCAAAAGAATAAAGAAAGGATGAAGAGCAAAAATAAGCTGATTCATAAATTAGTGAATCATTACTACGACAAATCAGTTCGTAAAACAATTACGGAAAGTTTAAATTTTAAAAATTTATAGTATTCCATTTGATAATCGCACCTTTTATTCAAACATTACTTTCATTTTTACTATTAATTTAAAATCATATAGGTGACCTAAAATATTTTTTATTTTTAGGCTGCTATATTCCAAAGATTTACTACAGCTAGACCAAATAAGTTCTTGTGTGGAGGCTCACTTATAAATAGTCGCTATATTTTAACTGCTGCTCATTGCTGTGTCAGTGGTACTACTGCCTCTCCATTGTTAGTAATTTTTTAATCTCATTTTAATAACAATTTTCCTTTCCAGTAGTTACATTAAAAGTTTGACTGTGATTTATGTACTAATGCACTTTATGTTTTTATTTTTATTACAAATCAAAGTGTTATAGTTTAAGTTTATTATAGTTAAGTTTTCTGAATAACATTTTCATTTTAAAAAATAATATTTTCTGATAAAATACAAAAATCTGTATCTCAGTTTGCAAAAATTTTACGTTTTGAAAATTTTGTTGAAATAAAATAATTTTGAGTTTAATTATTTCGACCTAAACTTTAGCTAAATATTTTTAAACTTAATTTTTTTCCGTAAAAAAATGAAGAAAAAAAAAGTTTTCAAGTCATTAAGGATATAGTCATATCGCATCTTTACGGGCGATGCTTTTTTAGAGATTTCCAAATAATAAACAATCAGTAAGCAATTATTTACCTTCACACTCCTCTTGTATTGTAAAATAAAATGCTATACTTTAAAATATAAAGTAAAAAATGCAGCTGTTCTTTTCATTATAATGATATAAATAAATTAAATTAATTTTTGTATTGTCGCACATTGCAATTTAATTTACTGTCACAGAAATACTCACTTAAAAACAATAAAAGACAGTTAAAAAAATGATCTCGTAATAAATTGTATTAAATTAAATTTTTATAATGTTGCTATATTTTAAAATATAAAGTAAGAAATGCAGCTGTTCTTTTCATTATAATGATGTAAATAAATTATATTAAATTTTTGCATTGTCGCACATTACAATCCAATTTATTGTCCCATAAATACACCTTAAAGGCAATAAAAGGCAATTTGAAGAAAAATTATCTAGTAATAAATAGTATAAAATTAAATTTTTCCATTGTCGCTCATTACAATCTAATTTATTGTCACATAAATACACCTTAGAAACAATAAAAGACAATTTGAAGAAAAATGATCTAGTAATAGTATTGCGATTCGTTAAAATGAATCAAAATCTTCACTTCAAATATTTCACTTATTTCTATATCACCATAGTAAAGCTTGTATTAAATAAGCTTTAATTCCTAATTGAAAAGAGAAAAAGGAAAAACTTAGTAAAAAGTTCTCTTTTAAAACTATACTATTTATATTAATATCATTTTTTTTATTGGTACTCAACATTAACCATCATCATTAGGCTTGTCTTAAAAGAAATTCTATCATGATAGTGAAACTTATATCGAATAAACTTTTTAAAAAAGAGAAAAATCAAAGTAAAAAATTCTTTGGAAAAACTGACATCATATTGTTACGATATTTTCAATAAAAACCGTAACTTTTACCACCATTGCTTGAAATATACTTGAAAGTGAATAACAAAAAATAAAACCCAAGTCGAAACCTGTTCTAAATGTTTACCATGCATAAAATATTTTGAACTTCACTTCAAATATCACTTGCCACCGACAGATGCTCTAGATAACTGGCAAAGGGAGTACTTTCTTTGGACAGACTAAAACTAAGCGAAATTGAATACCTAAAATGTTTACCCTCTCCTGATAGGCAGACTAAAACCAAAACTGCTTATGAAATGTAACCTATTGTACTGAAACTGTCTCCCCTGGTCAGTTATTTTGGTACTGATAGGTAATCTGAAACCAAAACTGCTTATGAAATGTAACCTATTGTACCGGAACTGCCTCCCCTGGACAGTTATTTTGGTACTAAAAGGTAGTCCGAAACCAAAACTGCTTATGAAATGTAACCTATTGTACTGGAACTGCCTTTTCCTGGACAGTTATTTTGGTACTGATAGGTAGTCCGAAACCAAAACTGCTTATGAAATGTAACCTATTGTACTGGAACTGTCTCCCCTGGTCAGTTATTTTGGTACTGATAGGTAGTCCGAAACCAAAACTGCTTATAAAATGTAACCTATTGTTCTGAAACTGTCTCCCCTGGTCAGTAATTTTGGTACTGATAGGTAGTCCGAAACCAAAACTGCTTATGAAATGTAACCTATTATTGTACTGAAACTGTCTCCCCTGGTCAGTTATTTTGAATTCGTAAGCAAGAAAAGAAACTGATTCTTTATAATTACTTTAATTAATTATTGTAAAACTGCATTTCATTAGTAACATTTTGCATTTACGTTAGATTAGTAACATTTTTGCACTTAAAATATAGTTGATGAATATTTAAAATTGTTTTATTTCAAACAGACCTGCATCTTCTTTTCTTGTACAATTGGGTTCAAGTGCAATGCACAGAGGAGACAGTTTTTCCATAGAGAAAGTTAAAGTGCATAGCAACTTCTCATTTACTGGTCAGTACAATGACATAGCACTCTTGAGCCTAGCGACTGGTCTATCCTCATACACTGACCGCATTGCCCCCGTGTGTCTTCCTTACCCGACCCTTCAAGACGCTGATTTGGTTGACCATTTGGCTACAGTAGTAGGATGGGGTGCTACTTTTTTAGGTTTGTTTATATTTATTGTTAAACTCATTAAACATAGAACTAGTTTTGAAAAAATAATTCAAAATGGCATAAAATTATGAGCTGATCTAAGAATCATTTGGTTTTAAAGAGAAATAATTACTCAAAGCATTTTGCGATTGATATGTTTCTTGCAAATTGCTTTGTTTCGCAATTTCTCGATTCGATTCCTCAAAGCATTTTGCGATTTACTCAGTGTTTTCTCATTAATTGAAATTGTTGTTAGTTAATGTTAATATTTAAAAAGCTAGCATTCATTTTTTTCTGTAAAAGGTAGTTTAAAAATTTGATTTTCAAATTTAACACAACGTACAAAGCATCCCTGTTAAGTAATACAAAGTATATCTAAATATTGCATATTTTGTTACAAAAAAATACATTGCCTAATGAGATAGTGACTACGAAGTTTAGACAAACGATATTATTACTATTACGCCTTTCCTTTATTTTCATATTAAAGTTATTGCTTTTGAATTAAATAAAATATGTGAACGTAACTTTAACATTATAAAATAGGCTACAGCGTAGCTTTCTTCCATTTGTACAAATTAAATCTTTAATCCTTCGACGCAAATGGGTCATTGGTGTAAATTTTATATTTTTTTCTGACCCTTTAATTGCAAGTAGAGATATGTTTTGGTATTTAGTTTCCTTTTAAAAACTATTTAATGCTTACTAAAAAATCTGATAGAATTTGTTCTGAAATTTAAAATCTAAAAGAGTATTGTGAAAAAAAAATTTTTATTCATATTCAAATGTGTATCAATAATTGATTGAACAAATTAAAGAAATTTCTATCATGAATAACTCTAAGTAACTGCAAATAAGGCCACGTTCGAAAAAGTATTGTTTGGAAGTGAGCCAAATTTTTACAATTAGCGCAGAAAAACACACGGGAGTTTCATGCTGAACTTCATAACTAACTAACTAACTAACTCCCTGGCATTACAGTTCATGTTGGGCCATGACCTCACTAACAATTTTTCTCCAAAGTCGCCTATCTCTAGCTCTTTGTTTCCAGTTTCGGACCTTTAGAATCTTAAGGTCTTTCTCCACCTCGTCTAACCATCGCTTGGCAGGCCTTCCTCTTTTCCTTTGGCCCTGGCACTGCCCCTAAATATCTTCTTAGTGCCTCTGTCTTCCTCCATTCTCTCAAGATGTCCTAGCCATTGAATTCTCTTTGCTTTTACATAATTGATTATATCTTTTTCTTTAAATAGTCTTGCAATTTCAAAATTGTATCGCCTTCTCCAAACTGTATCGAATTTCATAACCAAATATTATTGCAATGCTAAATATTTAATATTTTGCTTATTTCAACTTAAAATAAAACAAATATTTAAAAAAAAATATTTGAAAAACATGTTTAATATAATTCTGCGTCAAAGTATTAAGCTTGAGTCCTGATAAGGAAAACTCCGATCATTTAGATCAAAAAGTTATTAAGGTATTCGCTTTTTTTATTTTGCACACTGTCCCTTCTAGGCTACGATTAAAGTAATTTTTAAAGTAAAAAATCCTTATTATATGCATTAATATTTTTAAGTAATTTTTAAAATAAAAAATCCTTATTATATGCATTAATATTTTTCATGAATAAGAAAAATAAAATTAATATTGTATCTCTTATAGGCGGAGAACATCAAGAGAATCTACTCGAAGTTACCGTGCCTATAGTGTCGACAGACGACTGCGCCCTAGCCTATTCCCGAATAAAGAGCGCAGCTTTTTTGGCCAGAGGTTCAACTCATGTGTTATGTGCTGGCCTCAAAGAGGGTGGAAAAGACTCGTGCAAGGTAATAGAAACCTAATATCTAAATCTTCTGGCAAGAACAAAAGTTAATTTATGTTTATGAAAATGTATTGCAATAAGTATTTTTGTGTTCTTAAGAGTAGTTGTGTGTTGTAAAAATTGAAATCCAATCACAACATTTTTAGCGAAAGATTGATATTACACTGTTTGTCATATATTAAGTTACCAAATAGCAATAACTCACCCAAAAGTATGCCAAATAAAATGAAATTACGAGTATATGTCGTCAAATAAGAGTTTCTAGTTAAAACTACAATACGTAAATTAGTGACATTGCAATGAAATGATGTCATTTGTAATGAGCATATATTTGTAAGTTTGATCGGAAGCCTGCAAATTTCGATGTGTTTCTGATCATTCCCTCCCCCCTTTACGAAACTGCGATCGAGATTCATAGGGAGACTAAAGGCAGGACAAAATCAGCTCAGATAAAAACTGACCAGACGGCTAAATTTGAGTCCTTCTGTGGTTCATAGACTTTGACAACAATTTCAACAATAGGTTTGGCACGCAGAGGGTTCAGCCAAGTACGTTCAAATGCTACGACGAGCACCGATGGCAGATTTTTATTGTTACGTGCACGAAGGAATAAAACCAAATCAGCTCAAATCCTTTCTTAGTACAGCCACCGGAAAATTGGTATCAACGTCTACTGTGTGTAAGAGGCTTCACGAACGTGGCTTGTTCTCCAAGCGATCAGCCATTTGCATTCCATTCTCGTCACACCATAGAAGGGAACGTTTGAGGTTGGCGCAGCAACATGTCTACTGGACGGCTGTTCCCTTCATAGATGAATCCAGGGTTAGTCTCCAAAGGGTAGTAGGTACTGTTTGATTTGGAGAGAGTTTGGAACTCTGTAATATCCATCAAACATCTGTGAAAGAGAAGCATACTAAGAAGGCATTGTCTGTGTGTAAGATGATACCTCTTTGGGTGGACGCATTGACCTGCATGCCTTTCCACATGGAACCGTGAATGCTCAAGTGTATAGAGATGAAATCATTGATATTTATGTGCACTTTTACGCTGGTGTAATACCTAATGATTTCGTGCTATAGGGCTATAACGGACTTGAATCCAATCGAGCACGTAAGATGCTTTGAAAAGACGTGTAGCTGCTCGCAATCCTCCTCCTCAGACTTCTGCCCTGTTTGCAACTGCTTCGTAAAAACAATAGTTAGCACTTTCAACTTAACTGGGAGACCGCTTAATTAATTGAAAGCATCACGCATCGCTGTATTACAGCAAGAGGTGATTACACTCCATACTGAAGGTACTTTATCTATTCCAAAACTGACGCATCTGATTTGTTCATTTTATACCTATACTAGTTTCTGTAACGCCATAATTGCCTGGTTAATACTAAATACGTTATTTTATACATTATTCTGTGCACTATATTGTGTGCAAGTTTCATTATAAATCTCTGCGTTACTTTTGACTTAATGTCATTTTTGTGATTTTTCCTTAATTTATGATGTTCTTGTATTAAACTACAAATATATTTCAATTAATATGCATAAATATTAGTTTTTCTTTTAGATTATATAGCTCTGTCTGCTTACTTTCATTTATGAGTATTAGAGTACGCTATTATTTGAGGAATTTTTAATGTAACAAGTATAATGCCTTTTGGGTAAATATAGTTCTTATTGCTCTTCTCAAAAAAATTGATGGTGCACACAAATAGACGAATACTTTAAAATATGACTCATATTTTAAAAAATGGTGATATTTGCATGCTTTTTATGGACAGTATTGAACTTTAAAGGTAAAGAAAGACCTGTTAGAAAAAACATATAAAAATAATGATGACACAAAACCCGAATGTGATATTTTTGAATTAAAAGTAACACATTTTTAGCTGCTCGGAACTAAACATTTGTGCAATATCGAAATTAAATTTATTTTATAAATGAATAATTTTTAAAAGTTCTAAAAAGTTATTTATTTATTACTTTTTGTTTAATTTAGAGTGATTCTGGGGGTCCACTAATGATTCCATTGAGTAATGATCGTTGGACTGTGATTGGTATCGTTTCATTCGGTTACAGATGTGCAGAGCCTGGGTTTCCTGGAGTCTACACAAGAGTCACCCACTATTTAGAATGGATATATACCAATACACATGATTTTGATAATACCAAACCAAATTAAAATCAAAAATTTGTCATAATATATTTGATTTCTTTTAAAGAAAATAAAGAACTTTAGTTTCAGTCTTTTTTTAATATTTTTTACTTTTATTAGTATGCTTACTTTATAGAGAACTTACTTTCAACATTTATTTCAGATCAATATTTTCGCACTTTTAGCTTTTATTAAGAAAGAACCACACGCTGTAAAAGCTACACCTTAATGAGTAACTTCACTTAATGAATAAGCACAAGAGACTGAAGTGAAAAAATACATAATTGCCTTCTCGGCTATTACGTTTTTTCCTGCTCTGTTTTTAACTTTTATTTTTTTCTGCTTCACTCTCGGCTATCGCCGTTTTTCCAAGTTTTGCTTTTCACCTTTATTTTAATAATATTTTGTCAACTTTACGTTTTCTGTTTCAAATCGCTTTCTTTTTACCTCATTGACGTCTGACAAGTCTTAAAAATGAGCGCCTGTATTTGAGTGCTCGAAACATGTCGACTTTTATTACTATCTTCATACTCAACGGAAGCTCTTTTTTAAGCGCATACAATTACTGAGTTTCACGCTAAGAAACAACAATTCATGGATGGGGTAAGGGGCAGCTTCCATGATCAAAGACCTGGAGCACCAGCGGTAGAAGACTGACTTAGCTCCGGTGCCTACAGACTTTAGCCCACCGGTACATTCATGGTAGGTGCCCAGGGGGCTCCTTGGCTCGGGACAGCAATAGACGAGAACAAACTGCCATAACTCGTTTCCTCAGTGGACCTCCGCCATCAATGACTTATAACGATGGTTATAAACACTTCGAATCTGCACTAAGTGTTCTGCTGCCCAAGCCTCCCCTGACCACATTTTATCTTGTCTGGGACTTACCAGGCAGGGCCTAGTTCAAGCTCTCCGGTTGGTGATAGACTTTCTTAGAGTGAACGAGCTCATGGACCTGATCTGCTGGTCATGGGGTCAACGCTAAGAAAATATCGGTTTTTGCCTGTGCATTTTTATAAAAGGTCTTTCTTCGTATATTTCGATGTACTGTTACTTGTTGCATTAGCTGCCTATTCGGTGTGATGGGTTGAATCTTTGTCCGGGGTTCAGTTACCCATACTAAAAGGTGGGTATCAGGTTGGATGGTACTTTTTAATCATGCTTTAGTGATTCCATATAGTAAAAAATTCCGGATAAAATTACGATAATACCGACAATTAGGATGACAATACTTTTTACTGTAAAATACAAACAAAAAATCTGATAATTCATGATTTTTGCAATAATATTTACTGTAAAAACACGTAACTACAATTTTTTAAATAAATATTACTGTAAAAATTCCGGTATAAAATTTTACGGTAAAAAAAAAAAAGGATTTTACGATGAAATGAATTTTACGGATGATGCACTCAGGGTGCCAGTGATTTCTGAATATGTCCACTCAACTTACCCATTATCAGTAGCGTTTTCAGAGGCAGAAAATACTTTGTCTAAGAGCTTGAAATTAATTTAAAAAGTTTTACTCAGATTATAGTTTATTATGTCTCTAGTCCATGCTTTTCTGTGTCCCGCAGTGGACTAATCATTAAGATACGGTTCCCAGCAGATCACCGAAGTCAAGCATCACTGACTGCGTGTGCGGATGGGTGACCACTAGGATCAGTCTGCGTAAGGACTGAGGGTGTGTGGTATTGGTTCTCGTTAAACTGCTCTACCGTAAAGTGCACGACTTCGCGTACAGGTCGTCGGGCTACCGAAGCGGGGGTGCCATCCCCTCTGCAGAGGAATCAAAATTGTGATGGCATGTCTTCGAATCATCCTGAGGGATGTTTCCCAGATAGTCGCCAATAGCCCATTGTGCAGCTCTAGTGCAACGTAAATGAACTACAATTTACAACCATACTTTTCTGTATTTACTTTTCGCTTAAAACTTCGCTAATAGACTTAAGGATTTTCTTAAATCTAGTAAAGCTAGATTAATTTTGTCTTTAAGCTTCGCTAATAGGATTATCTTAAAACGTTCCCGGGGTACAGCAAGATACGCAAAAAGTGACTAACATTAAGCGATATAAATTTATTTAAGATCACTCTTTCAAATCATTAAGATTGATAATTGACGCAGAATTTTTATTAAACAGGTTTTTCATACTTTTTTTATTATTTAGGTCAAAATAAGGGGGGGGGGATATTCAATTTACATTGTAATAACTGATAATTATGAAATACAGCATGAAATCCCGGTGTCGGTTTCGGCCTTAAAGGTAAAATCCTCCCAGCACGGCTCACTTCCAAATAATAATTTTTCAAAATTTGCACTTATTTAGATTTAAGGGAAAACAGTTATTCATCACTTAAATTTGCAAAATGAATTGTTGATATATTTTTGAATATGACTGTAAAAAAGTTTTTTTTTTTTAAAAAGTACAATTTTTATTTTATATTTTAGTAAAAATATAATAATGATAATTCAACGTATTTTTTTAGTAACTATTAGGCTGTTTTTTTATGATTAAAAAATACCGAAATATATTTTTGCTTGTGATTAAAGAGGCAGAAAAAATATAATAATGATAATTCAACGTACTTTTTTAGTAACTACATATTAGGCTGTTTTTTATGATTAAAAAATACCGAAATATATTTTTGCTTGTGATTAAAGAGGCAGAAAAAATATAATAATGATAATTCAACGTACTTTTTTAGTAACTATTAGGCTGTTTTTTATGATTAAAAAATACCGAAATATATTTTTGCTTGTGATTAAAGAGGCAGAAAAAATATAATAATGATAATTCAACGTACTTTTTTAGTAACTATTAGGCTGTTTTTTATGATTAAAAAATACCGAAATATATTTTTGCTTGTGATTAAAGAGGCAGAAAAAATATAATAATGATAATTCAACGTACTTTTTTAGTAACTATTAGGCTGTTTTTTATGATTAAAAAATACCGAAATATATTTTTGCTTGTGATTAAAGAGGCAGAAAAAATATAATAATGATAATTCAACGTACTTTTTTAGTAACTATTAGGCTGTTTTTTATGATTAAAAAATACCGAAATATATTTTTGCTTGTGATTAAAGAGGCAGAAAAAATATAATAATGATAATTCAACGTACTTTTTTAGTAACTATTAGGCTGTTTTTTATGATTAAAAAATACCGAAATATATTTTTGCTTGTGATTAAAGAGGCAGAAAAAATATAATAATGATAATTCAACGTACTTTTTTAGTAACTATTAGGCTTTTTTTTATGATTAAAAAATACCGAAATATATTTTCGCTTGTGATTAAAGAGGCAGAAAAAATATACATATGAAAGGGACTCCGGTGTCTCAAAAAGTTAATACGCGAAATCTGATCATTAGAACAAAAGTTGTACATCGCTATATATTTCACTGTTCTTGTCATTTATGTAGTTTTAACTACATATAGGATTTCTTAAAAAAGAAATTAAAAAAATACTGTATTTTCGAAATACAACCAAAAATTGAATTAAATTTATTGAATCTATTATATAAGTTGTTCCTTTAAAAGTTGGGTTTTCATTTAGGTAACCAAAAACTTTATATAGACAACGAAAACAAAATCAACGTCATTAAACGACTGAGCATATATTCCCCCATGAGTAATATTTAGAAAAGTTTTAATCAAATTGAATGAAAATTGTTGTTACCGACCTCGAGAGTTGAAAAAACTTTTAAGTTCGGGAAGACTTATCTCAAAAATACGTCATAGTTTTCGGAAAATGTTCTTGCGTATGAATTATCTCAAAGAAAATAAATAAATGATAAAAGACTGCTCGAAAAGTTCACAGCGGTATTCTTCCTTAAGAGGACGCCATACGATGAGAAAAACTTTTCGAAGAAAAGTTTCTCTCGTGGCATGGCGTCCTCTTAAACAGAAATTCTCGTTGTCCTTTTTTTCTTTCAGCGATTTGCAAGTAAAATTAATGAGAAATCACGTGTACAATATCATTTGCAAATTCTTTTATCTCTATCATCTGTCATCAACGTATATAGACAAAAGATAAATTTTTTATGTACTAAAATTGATAATGAAAGCTAGTATACTTATTTTTTATTCTAGAAATTGTTTGTTAAGGTTTGAGCAAAAGTTTGAGCATCGTATAATACTAATCACTCTTCTCGTCAAAGAGAAAATAATAATGAAATAAAGAAATATTAAGGAAAAATTTATATGGCTAAGACCAAGAAATAAACGAAAAAGAAAATAGTAATGGAACTTTCTTTTGATAGTTCAGACAAAGAATAAGAGAGCAATTCGCAAATTCAGCTTCATCTCCATTGGTAAATTAAAATTTTAAGTTTAGAGAAGTTGAGGTCAGGTAAACCTTGAGAAAACAATAGATTTTCAAATATTCAAAAAATGTTTTCAAAATACAAAAATGCAAATAAACTATTACAGAACTCTTGCATAGCATAATTCTAAGTAATCCCAGTCCCACAGTGGACTGATTGTTAAGACACGTTAAACTGATCGTTAAGAAGATTCCCAGCAGATCACCGAAGTCAAGCATCACTGGCTGCGGTCAGTGTGCGGGTGGGTGCCCACTTGAATTAGTCTGCGTAGGGACCGAGGGTGTGCGGTATGGGTCCTCGTTAAACTGTGCTACCGTAAAGTGCTCGACTTCGCGTGCAGGTCGTCGGGCTACCGAAGCGGGGGAGCCATCTCCTCTGAAGAGGATCAAAATTGTGATGTCATGTCTTCGGATCATCCTCAGGGATGTTTCCCACACCGTCGCCAATAGCCCATTGTGCAGCTCTAGTGTGACGTAAATGAACAACAACAGCAGCCTAAATAATCCTATCATAATTTGTTCGCATTTTGATAATTTGAAAATTTTTTTCAGCATTTAAAACTTCATAGCTCACTCTAGGTGTACCTGAACTTACCTTTTCAAGGTTCCTCTCCTGTTAAAGTGCACTCTTCTTTTGCCGATATAAACTAAATTCATGTCGCAATTTCAATTCAAATTTCTTATTTTTTATCAGCAAAAAACTATTAGAAATTTTTTACACCTAATTATTACTTGTAACGTTTATATCTTTAGTGATTCT